TATCTTTACAAAAGAATGTTGTATCATCAGCAAATTGAACACACCTAAAAAGTCCCGACACATTGACCAAATCATTCACAAACAAAAAAAATCTATGTAAGGACATAAATGTCCTTATCTAACTGCTCATTACTTTTAATACTTAAGTACATAAAATATCAGATTCTTTATGACTTTTACTTAAATAATATTCCTAAAGGAGACTTTAACATTTACCAAAGTAATTTTTTGGGAAGATACTTGTAATTTTACTCAAGTATCACTTTGTGGTGCTTACAACACTGTTGTTATGTAAAAGAGGCCATTTGTAGTTAGTAGGGCAGTTCAGAAGGCATCAAAAATTGACATTAAACATAAAGTAAAGCAAAGCAAAGTAAAGTAAAGTAAAGCAAAGCAAAGCAAAGCAAAGCAAAGCAAAGCAAAGTAAAGTAAAGTAAAGTAAAGTAAAGTAAAGTAAAGTAAAGCAAAGCAAAGTAAAGGCCTGCTGTTACCTTCCAGCCCGGCAGGGGGCAGCACCTCCGCCTGCAGGCTGTTCACCAACAGACCTGCGAGGAAAGGAACAGTCTGTCCCGTCACCGGCGTTTTATTTAGCAGTAGAAGGTCGTCAGCCGCTGGACGGAATTTAACAGAATTCCAACCCAAAACTAGCTATAAAAAAWTTAAGTTGGCATTTCGTGGTGCTTGGGACGCAGAGTGATGTGAGTAAAACTAAAAAAAAGTACAGGAACGCGGCCGTACGTCGCGTGTGGTCGGGCTGTTATGAAACCTCGTTAGCAGTCGGTTACCGCATCTTACGGCTGATAGTAACATCAGGGCGGTTCGGTTCGAGCTGACTTTAGGTTTTCCTGCGTGAAACCGYCCAGACTCACAGACTGTTGATCGGGAAACTCGAGTCGGCTTTTGTTCCCCGTCCGCTGGACCAAACCCGGGACTGGGCTCCTGGTTCTGCGGGTCTCCCTTCCTCCCTGCACGGAGAGTGGCTGGTTTGATGGCAGCCACAGCCGGTGCCCGGAGGTTACCCATGGGTGTGCGGACGTTCAGTGACTTCCTCCAGGTCGCCACTGTGGGTTCCCCTCGCTGGTGTCCCAAAACGGTACCGAAAGGATGCTCACGACAAAGTATCAGGTGGGTCTGACACGAAGCCATGTCTTTCAGAAACTAGAAGATGACACAGTGTGTTATCAGCATCAAGTGGGCTTTAGGAGCCTTCAGATGAAGCAATATTATTTGAAAAAAACCACCTGTTACAAGAACTAAATTCTGTCTTAGTAATTTTGTCATTTGTAAGATACTTGTTTGACATGTTTTGTTTTATTTAACTCGTAAATTTCCTATAATTATATTGTCATACAGCTTGCAGGGCAGGATTAATGAATTTGTGGAAAAGCTAGAGCTACTTTTTTGGAGCCCTGTTGAAATTATGTAGCAACCTGTGCACATTAAATTCAGGGGTTCAATCATACGTAGCAAAACTGCTTTTATCTTTAAAATGATTACATTTTAAACCTTTCATTTCAGACCCAAAGTCTGAAATGAAAGGTTTACTGTCTGGAATAATGTCCATGTCTGCTCTGGCACATTTTACTTCATTTTAGCTGTTGATGCGCACATCAGGAGATGAGTGGTTTCTTTGTTTAAACTCATAAATTGGGTGTGTTTTTTCTTTTAATTTGAACCAAATTATTTTGAAGTGAGTGAGAATAGTGCAGATCACTGTGCCGTCACCAACACATGACTGCCTGATTAAAAACCTCTCTGTTGGGCAGAAAGAYCGCACACACACCGTTTGTTTTATACTTGATCACCGGCTTCAGCAACAATGGTCCAACCCTGCGTTGTGGCTGGACACACACATRGGTGGGAAAAGGGGAGTAGGATTTCCTGGCACTTTTTTATATCGAGTAAAAACGACCTAGATGTACAATAAGTGGCTCTCGTTCTACAGAAAGGTTTGGATTCAGAAAAACAAGGATCATGTTTGTGGCGTTCATTTCCTTCACATAAAGTAGATTAGTCATTGATGAAGTCCTGTGATCTGTCTTATGCAAGGACCTCACACGCCTTCATCTGAACTGATACTGAAACAAAGAAACTGTCTCAAAACGTCAGTCAGACCACAACAGAAAATTAGCTTAGTGAATTATTAATATCTATCACTCACYAACAGTCATTTAGTAGCTTGTGGGCCTTCATCGACTGTCTGGTGATCAAACCCAGAGATTTGGTCAGATACTCCTAAAAATCAATGCAGTCAGTAGAGCTGGGTATCACTTGGCGATTTGATATGATTTTCAACACAGAGCTCAGGATACAGGACTATTCTCGGTGCAATTTGATTTGATATTGATACATATTACTGTATATTTACTGCTCACTGCCACTGACTCAACAGATCCAGGAAAAATTCTGTTTATAAGTCTAAAAACCAAAATATGTCTAAACATCTGATTTTAAAGGGATTCCCGATTAGTTGCAACATTAGACTTTATTTGATAAATATATATTTTAACTGTAAAATAAAGACTGTAAAAACAC